AAAGTTTATATGAAGATTATAAACATTTCGAAAGTAATATACTAAGATGACATAAACGTTAACAGACTAAAAGAATTTCAATATTTTCGAGAACATTAACCCTTTTGTTTTAAGATAAGATTGACTTTCATTGTTAGGTGTAGCACTTTTTATCAAATATTTACTATTTTTGTTACTCAGAGTGGAGAAAAATAAAAGGCTCGTTTTTTATTTTGAGTTCTTGCTTAAAGATGGCATACAGACGGATATCAACATTATTTTTATCATCATAGTGCACCATCTTATCAGAGAGAAATTCTATAAAGTTGGACTTTAATATTCTATCCCATTGAATATGTTTCGTCCTAGTACTCTACACAACCCTATTCTATTTACATTCGCATGTGCAAAGTTTTCTAGTTATAGTAAAAACTTAACAAGACACATGAATGGTAAAATATAATTAAAACTTCGATCCCATGATAGTTACAAACATTTGATATTGCATTGAAACCCAATGTTTTATGCGTGAAATATTGACCAATAGTCGTTAGAAAGCGATAAGATTCAGTTTTTCATAAGTTTTCAAACAGAGCTGTCATCATAAGTATTAAGAGATGCTCGCTTGTTAGCCATTTATTGAAATTATGAATGCAATATTATGTTTACTTTGCGATAATAATGTCTTTATTTGAACTCAAATGATGACCATAATAGTTATGTTATTATGAGTAGGTCACTACTTCGAGAAGGATCTACGAAACTTGGTCGATGTTCACAATAGTCGAAAAATTTATAATACAAGGGTGGATGTTTTCTCTTGCACTCTCAACCCATATCACATCCTGAAAATGCTTTCATGTACAATGCAACAATAATATCTGAAATCTCGATCAATGCTTCTCCACTTAGGATTCGGAGGCGAAATGGGAAGAATATTTTGTTTCCCATCCCAACTTTTATTTTTTTTTCGCTGCCTTGTCATGCCTTTGTAAGATAGTGGTTAGACCTAAATTAGATCTTCTATGATTGATAACTTGATCTGCTGCCGAACACTCTCTTTTAACAGTTGCTTGACTGCATAATATTGAGTACAAGTGACATGTTAATTAATTTCTCTCGACCTATCTCCGTCTCTATTAGTAATATTGTAGAAAGTCTATTGTTTTTCTATTGAAAGAGCATAGTATGCATTTCCAAAACATAAGAAAAAAATTTTCTGGTATTTATTTCGAATGAAAAACAAGTTCGATATAAAACATCTTCAAAAGAGCTCTTGCAACATATTGTTTTCCTTACATTGTTTCTTAAGTCTGAAGAAAAATTTTTTCCTTGAAAATCAAATAGATGAGAAAGTAGTTTTTATAAAACTTTGTTGACTTTCATACTTTAGAAAGTTTCTCAGGAATTCTTTAAAAGTAAATAAAACATCGTTGTTTTGATAGAAAGCACTACTTTACATGAGATAGATAGAACATTGAGATAAATCTTTAAATTAATCGGAATTTGTAGAGAAATTTGCATGATGTTTAAGAAAATAGTTTTTAATACAACAAGGGAAATACGTTCATTATCTGGAAACTATTACTTAAGTTGGATGACTAGGTTTTTTGAAATTAATGAAAAACTTGTTTATTCAAAGTTGATTTCGAAAAATTTTTTCCTAGGTTGTTTTTGGGAACTCAGACTTTACTCTTTCAACATGGAAAACCTGAATTTTCTACAATATTTCTGAATAGAAAACTATGACTTGAGATTTCGGCAAATACTATTGTATTGGAGGTTATTCTTAATTTCACTTTTCTATCAAAATTAATTTTAATACAATTTTATAAAAATCTGTGTATCTAGAAATTTTGATTTAAAAAGAAAAATCTAATTCACATGCTATGTGTATCAGAAAAATATATGCTCCTTCTAAATTATTCTTTTTTTATGAATTTCTCGACTATTTTTTGCTTTTCCCTTTTATGAGTAACAGTTTACTCGCTGTTTCTAATTTATGTTACAGGAGCAAATATTTAACAAATAATATTCAATGTTAAAATCTCTCTCAAAACAACTAATATAAAAATCATATTATATTAAGAATCCATCAATTGAGCAACTTGATAAGTTTCTTGCAAGTTGATTTGATGAACCAATAGTTCCCATAAATATAAACTTTAAATGATTAACTATTACAACAAAAGATAATGCTGAAATAATTTTTTCTCATTCTTTTATACATAATTGGTTTTACAGTAGTCCACAATAAGAAACTCAATTTGATTAGCTATATTATTTAGACAGTATGGTAACTGAACAAAATTTTGAATAAAACTACAACTTTGATGGAAACTAAAAAATAATACAATCTAGTCGAATAGGTTGAACGCTAATGTTTTTAAGCTATAAAGTGTAAATTACAGAACTATATCAGCATTGACCTACGATTAACCCTTAAGAGCCCAATGTCCCTTCCAAAGGACATTAGAATAATTCCAATAAATTCCACTACAAGAGCTTATATGCAAAAATCAACATTTTTTCGAACTGACATGACCTTAGTGATCAAACAGAGATGAAAATATAATTCTCAAGTGACTCGTAAACCGAACAATGAACCTTTTACGACTCGTAATTTTTTTAGCACCACTTTTCTTTTCTGAAGTTTCTTTTATTCATATAAGCGACGTACGGCTTTGGTTTTTTTAAGTGATATTGTTAAACATAGTGTTAGGGCATCTAAAGAAATCATCTTGTAAATTTTAAACCATTCCACTAACGCAGGACATTATCATAAAGAAAATGTTTCTTCTATGGGATATTCTGCCTCAAGACAAAATCGAAGCAAAGGGATTTTGACTTGAAACTTTGCTCATAAATAGCTGATAGGCTATTTAGATTGCCCTGAAATTTTCAGGAATAGCTGTTGTTTACTTTTGAAAATACGGCATGTTGAAGAGAAGCCGGATTTTGTGAGTTTTTTGCAAAATATTGCCGATTTTTTTCTGCGTCCAATATCTCAATAATAAAGCATCCGTTTTGAATGAAAATTTCAGGAAAATTTCAGGATCATATAAACTGATTAAGGGCGAAATTTCAGATCGAAATTCCTTTCCTTCCAGTTTTTTCAAGATCCAAGATTTCTGCTAAAGGACGTTGTGTAACTCTAGAGGAAGAACAAGGTACTTCGTTTTTCCTATAGTATGAGCATACTGAGGGCGCATCAGCTCTATTTTTATGGTTGTCTTCAATCTGTTGCTAGAAAAACCCCTCGGGCTTTTAAGGGTTAAGGACAAACAAGAGAATACAAGACCTTTGTTGCGAAATTTTCACAAAAAAGCATATATAGCTTATAGATTGATATTTTAAATTGATATGCCTTAATCATAGTAAAAATATTGATGATTTTTGCTTGAACACATTCGACTTTAGTTACTGACTAGATCGTATTAGATGATTTGCTTTGGTTGTGATAGAAAAAAGATTGTTCAAGTAAAAGATTTTCCTTTCAAAAATATCGCTAAAACATCATTAATAAATAGTTATAAAGCCAGAATACATTGATCATATTATCATATGTATAAATGTTTACATTTATTTACCGATATTTTTATACTCTTCATTTGAATTCAAAAATCCAGAAATCACAATGACATTTTAATAGTTTGGTCGAGTTATGCTTAGATTATGTATTTTTATTTTTTCTTCGCTGATTTTAAATATTAGAAAACAATAGATCGTGTAGATATGCCTGTATGTGAATAACAATTTATACCATTTATGATTCATTTTCCAATGGTGTGCAACAGTCTATTTATAACTCACACAAAAAAAACAATATTTAATTGGAGTTCTAGATCGAATTCGGAAACTCGACATCGACTTCGTCATTAAAAAGAATATTTTCGAATTCGTATTTACATTAATAAAAACAGCCGAATATTTTTACTTTAACATAGTATAAAAGTTATATTTCATATGTTATGTAATAAAAAACAAACACACTACTTTGTGGATCCAAAAATAAGTTTCAAAAAAAAAAAAAGAAAACATCAGAGAAACATTCTCATTAGCAAGTATCCCAAAAAAAGAAGTATATACATTAGTCAAAAGTATTTTTAAACTTTTCTCGAGGTCGAACTCCAACAGATAATACGGAGATACTTGGAGTCAACAAGGTCGACTTTGCGCAGTGCTCTATTAATTATACAATGATTGTTATGATAAACAATTCGTCCTTATATGCTGTATACCTACATTCTTCTCTTTCTGTAGGACTAAATATAGATTCAACAAGGCAAGAACAACTGTTTGTAAATATTGTTTCAATACATAACACAAAAAACTTATTAATCAAAACACATTGATAAAATAATCTTCAATTACATACAAATAAACTAAATGTTTTATCTTTTTGTACTGCTAAAAATATATACATGAACTGCGCACTTTTTTTTATTATGACTTTCCTTTAATTGTAATATTATAGCAATAATATTTTTTGAACTCAAAACAAAACTTGTTTCTTTTTCTCGATTATTGGTTAATATTTCTTCATACGTCATTCTTTGCATCGTACTCATTTGTGTATCTTTAACATTTTCTTTTTAGTTGCCTGTCATACTGTTAGAAGCCCTGGAGAACGATGAAACGTCATTTACTTGCATGTCGTAGATGTGCATTTAACGAAAATAAAACGAGGAAGCTTGCTCGTTCTTATCTTATTGTTCTTCTGTTTTTTTTTTCTTTCTGTAGACATCAGCCAGTGAATACGTGGATGTCGACGTTGTCAATCGAATGGAGAGAGAAAAATGTTTTTCAACAGTAAAAGTAATAACAGTAATGCGTACATGAGATGAGAACGTTTTTCATATTCATTGAGATCACAGAGTAGTATTTGTTTTTTATCATTATCCTATACATATATTTTTCTTGTTTATCAAAGGTAACAGAATTAAAAGTACGAGCTTACATATAAAGCAATTATTTGTTATTACAATTATTGTTGTGTGAATAAAATATTGTGCATTATTATGTCAAACAAAGCTTCAAGTGATCGTCATGCTATTGATTCTTCGAATGGACAGGGAAATAGTATCAATGCTGGTATTGATTCAGGTATTACCTATGATCCATCTCATCGTGGTTCCTTAACACCATCGGAATTAGATGCAATTCATCAAACAAATAGTTTTAAACAAGCTAAACTATTAGAAGAAAAAGATAATCGTCAAGTGGCTGCTAAAATGAAAAAACATGAGCGAGCCAAAAAATTAGATGAATAGTATTATAAAATTGAAAACAAATACGAATTATTTAAATATATGTATATATCAAATGGTTCATATGACATCTAACTTAACAAAAAACACACTATAATCTCATCATTATATTTCAATCAAGTGGATTTTTTTCGTGATTAATGAAGGATGGTGCATGCATAGTTTATATTCATATAGCAAACATAGATAATCATGCTTTAAAGTGTGACTTTTGAATTTAATAAAGAATTTTGATTATTAATCAGTTGCACATGTTATCTGTTTCTCTATGGAAAACATAAAGAGTACATCTAAATTATATTATTATTAGATGCTTATACTTCTATTGTCCAGTCTCAAACTTATAATAGAAATTAATGTCTCTTGTTATTCTATATACTTAAAACGTTTCAGTTGTAAACAACAAGATATTGTTATAAAACTACAATAATATTTTTCATTATTGATCTAACAGTAGAATTCTTGAGTAAGGTCAAGTGTTCTACTTTAAAGAAGATTTTTCTTTTTCTTGGATATCATGTCTTATCGATATGAACTATAAATGTTACTTTATCAATGTTCGACAAAAAAGAACCGAGTCTTTTGATTAAAATAAAGTAATTATCTGAAAATTTTTTTTTGTAGTAAAGCGAAGTTTTGGCTACTTTCTCTATCGTCTTTTTGTTCTTCTGTCTATGCTAGATAATAGCATGAATAAGAATATAGCGAGTAGGATAGGGCAAAAAAAAACAGAGAGAAAAAAAATAATGAATTATTTTCCTCTACAGTGCAAATGTATATCTTATTTATCATAGCAAAAATAGATATATTACTTGTATATTAGTTGGTTGTCTGTCGATGTAGCAAAGAAAAACAAAAACAATTGAATGATGATGGTGTTACTTATGATTTTTATACTTACATATTCTACTCAAATCTTAGGAAGTAGTAAAGAAATTATAGTTGAAAATCCATTTTATCTTCGTGCTCGTATACATGATGCTCACTCGGCTACTGTACAATTTGAAATAGCTCGCGAAGCTTATCAACGATCATGTCAAGCTTATAAATTTGCAATTTGTCGTAATCGTGAAAAACCGTATTTTATGGAAGAACAAAATTTAACGTTTTGGAGAAATTCACTTGAATTAAAACATTTAGATGAAGGACAATATAGAATATGTGCTATAATTTGTTCAGAACATTTAGGTTCAGAATCATATCATTATGAAAAATGTGAACATAAGAATAATACAGCAGCAATAACTGCTTGTGTTAATTTTAATGCATATCGTACTCATTTTCTTATTCTTACATTGTATATCGTTGTCTTCATATTTCTTGGCTGTTCACAGATTATTTTTACATTCCGTAAACGAAAATTTAAAGCTGGACTTGCAATGGCATTAATGGAAGTTGACAATATTGTACAAAAAATGCGTACTAATCAAACATCGTCAACATCACCTGATGACATACATACATATAGTATTCTTCAAACTCTTGTTACTCTTCCAGCAGCACCTATTGAACATATCAAATTAGAACCGTTACAATTCGAGGATGAAGAACAAAATCCTTCGAGAGTGGAGTTTGGAATTCTACATGAACGTCACAATTCATTTTAACATAAAAGTGAAACAGCTGCCTTTATTCGAAAAAAAACACATCGCCCCTTCTGTTACATATATTTTAAATTTAGTCTTTATACAATATCGAGAAAAAAAAAACATTTATTCATTGTCGTTATTCACTGGATTTAAAAGATTATATGTAATACAGTATTCAGGATAAGCTTGTTCACCACGATAAATAACATATTCGGGATAAGCCAGACCACCTTGTGTTGGTCGACCTATAACTGAATGATGACCAGGTGGTGCATGAGCTAATTTTGATGCACTAAATTGTAAAAATGATCGTCCAAGACAAACACGACACAATAGCATTTGTCTAAAAACATTTCATTTAAATAAAATACTAAGACGAAAAATTTCATTTTTGTTTTACCTTGAACATAAATAACATGATTTGTCTTTATGTAATGTACATCCATTTCCACCACCTATACCATAAACATATTGATTTGATTTTGAAGAGTTTTCTGCAAAATATATTCCTGCACCTACAGGACATAAGAAACAAATATTTCTGTCATTGAAAGATATAAATAAAAATAGTTCAACTAACCAAACATTCCACTTATAGATGCATGTCTTTCATCAAAACCTTTATGCATAATTGAATGAAGAAAAGGTGAACCATGAAAAAGTAAACGTTCATTTTCATGACCATTATTATCATCTTGAATTTCATTTCGACGATGACAATAACGATCCCATAAACGTCGATTACGAATTTTTTCAATCTAATTTGAAATAAAAAATAAAAGCTGTTAGGGCAATCCTTGCGGAAATAAATTATAAAACACGATGTAACTGCTCTTGCTTATAACGCAGAAACTGTTTTATTCTATCTATCTTGGGATACACTTTTTTATCATTGTTTTACGTAATCTTCGGAAGTATTTCATATATTGAGACGATACCGATAGACTGTTTGTGATCGTGTGGTGGTGAAATAAAGCTTAATAAAAACGTATTTGGATTGAATGTAAATTGTAGTTTTAATAGACAATCAAGTTTTCATAGATAAACTACGATAGCGAAGTAATTTATCAAAAAGTCGCTTAAAAACGTCTTTTTTTTCGTTCTTTTTGTCTTAATTTGAACCTCCTAATTGTAGAAAATACAGCAATCTCTCATTTTATTAAGAATATTGTTCTCTTTAAATTAATATTGTTAAAAAAAAGTCTTCTGAAACTTGAAAGTTACCGTGTCCGGTTCCTCTAAAAACTTTACCATCATATTTCACCCATGAAATCTTTGTAAAAGAAAACTTTATTGGCTATTAAAATCACTATCTAGATTTGAGCTAGGTACGTTATATTATAGAACAAAAATCAAAAGTACGTTGTTTTTAAACTGTTTTCTGTCACCTTATATCAATACTCTGCTTAAATCCTGTTTCAAAAAAAAAGAACGTAAAAAAAACACAAAATCTTGATTACTTTTAATACTACATAACGAGTAAATATTCCACCACAATTATCTTTATGTTCACGAATAGTACTTTGTAACTAGAATTTAAAAAAACTGTATAAACTTAAATTTTTATGTCAAGATTTTTTAAATTACTTCATCTTCAACAAGTCGATATTCTTGATCGTTTGAATCAAGTTCAATAAAAACTGATCCTCTATCAGGTATATTTGACCATGGATCTTTTGCTTGTTTATATAATCGTTCAATACCTTTGAGTAATTTATGTCGTTCACCATAAGCAACAATACCAATATCTTTTAGATCATTATGTGTCATTTCAGCAAGTATATCAAGTGTTATATGTTCACGTTCGAATAATTCTCTTAATGAATCTTGTTGTTGACTTGATTGAAATTGACATAAACTTAAAAATTCATCCATTGTCATATGAAGTGCTTGTTCTCGACGTTCATCATCTGTAATTAAACTCATACTACCATCGCCAATCGGTAGATGACGTTGGATAGTTGACTGTTGTAGACTTGATGCAGATGCCAAACGTTGTCTTGAATTATTATTACTATTAGTCGTAGTTTCTGCACCAAGTATTGATGTTGTTTCACGAGTTGCAAGTGTTAATGTTGTTTGATAACAATTACTAGTTGGTGATGTTGGAGTTATTGGAGTTGACATTGCATCTAATAGTAATGATTTAACATCATCAGCTGTAGCTAAATCTAATGGAGTTTGATTATCTTGATTTTGAAGATGTGGATTTGCACCATGAGCAAGTAATAAAGAACATAATTGAGTTCGACCTTTAGATGCTGCTTCATGTAAAGGTGTATACGACCAATTATCACGAGCATTAACATCGGAATGATAATTTATTAATAAAGTAGCTACATCAACATGACCAAATGAAGATGCATTATGAAGAGCTAAGAAAAATAAAATAATAAATTATTGTGATTCCTCGTCTGTCAAAAAAATAAAATCAATTTTCGTTAGAAAAAAAAATGAAACTTGACATAAGTACATGAGAAAATAGCCTGAGGTTTACTTTCTCATATACGATATAGGTTTTTTTGTTTGGTACCTCGTTTTTTTGCCCATTCACATGATTTTTGTCATTTTTCGCTTGACAAATAGGCTTTTCTCAAAAAAAGCGGAATGTCTTATTTATTTGTTTATGCTCTTCTGATCGCACATCTTAGAATTCTCAAAGGAGCTTCATCATAAAAAATTGCTTGTTTTGTTTGAAACAGCATGTGAATCTGTAATGTTTGATTTTTGAATTAAGCTGTTTTTATTATTGTATAAGAAAACACTTATAGATACATGATCACTTCATTTTTTAGACTATTTTGAGATATTGAACTTGCTATTGTTATTTCCACAACATAAGCCAGAAAAAAGATCTGTCAGACTCTATATTCTGGCGTGTTCTCTCAAACAAAAAGAAATTACATCTATAGAGCGAAGATCCACAGGGAGTTCTAGGCTGCCAAATGAACTATAACAGCGGAAAAAAGTTTAACATTTTCTTTTCAACATATTTTTTAATAATGTTAGGAGCCTAGTTCAAATCCAGATCGTGATTGTAATAGAGAATGAAATTTTTTATCTAAAGTTTTCTGTATCAAGATTTCATATATGAACTATGGCAGCAGAATTTCAAAAAAATTAGACACATTAGTTTTCATGTCCTAGAAGACCATTTTTCTAACAATGCCAATTTAAAAAGCACAATATTCTGAACAACAGTGAGCGTCGTTCTTTTTTTATAGTCTTCCTTTAAAAATCCAAAGGCATAAAAAGAACCAAACTTTATGGAAAAGTCATCAACAACGGTTCTTTCGGTTTTTGTGACAGTTTTAACCTGTTGAGCAAGAGGTCATAGAAAATGCAACGGCTTCTTATTTGGTTCACAATTTTACTCTCATTAAAATAGAATTATTAAAAAATAGTTTCTAAGACTTGAGAACTATCGTCCCTGACTTTTTAGAAACCTCACTATAATAGTTCGTCCATAAAATCTTGTTAACGAATGTATTAGATAGAAAACTCCATTGACTATTAAAATCACTATCTTGATTTGAACTAATTTCTCAACATTATAGAAAACAATAAATAATACATTGTTGTGAAACTTTTTTTTCACCACAATACGTTTGACTTTTGTGTTACGAAATATCTCTCGAAAACATCATTGTTTATTTTGGACCAGTTGTACACTAATCATCGAATACAGAAAACAGGAAAACAGTTTCTCGTACGTTCAGGCCAATTATCCGATTTCGATTAGAAAATTTCATTGAGAGTATTACGGTGCGGTTTAAGTGGGTCCGAAAATGTAGGACCCGATCGACTGCTCTAGAGGGTGAGCTTAATTCTAGACATTAAGTATAAATTACCTATTAATCCACCTTTATCCACAGCATTGGGATTACCACCGTTTTCCAATAAAAATTGCGCTATTTCATAATGATTATATCCAGCTAGGAAAAAAACTTCAAAACTTTAAAGAAAAGACAAAATAGTTATATTTATTTACCAGCTAGATGTAATGGTGTACTATTTCTTCCTAATGGATCACGACAATTAACATTTTCTGGAGTTAATAATTTTCTTAATCGTTCTAAATTTCCTTTTTTAGCTAATTCTAAAATAGCACTATCACCACGAAGTAAATCTGCTACATCACTATCACGATCTTTAACTAAATCGAGTGGTGTAGCACCATCACGATTCTTTTTATTTATATCAGCACCATATTTAATAAGTAATTTACATATTTCAAATTTTCCTTTAGCTGCGCTTTCATGTAATGGTGTTACTTTCCATAAATCAGTTACTTGAGATGATGCACCATTATTGAGTAAAAGTGCTGTAACTTCAAGATGACCATAACTACAACTAGAAGAAAAAGAGAGAGATATAAATACATAGGATTACTTTTCTTCTATTATACCTATTATGTAAAGGAACAAGACCACCTACCAATATAATAAAAAAACGATGAAATGATTATTATACAAAATACAAAAACTGGTTTTGATTTCATTACCTTTATCTCTTGCTGTTACATCAGCACCCATTGCTAATAAATATTCAACAACTTGTAAACGATTATATCCAGCAGCAAAATGAAGTGGAGTACTATTTCTACCTTGAACATCGCGACAATTAACTAATGATGGATTGAAAGTGAGTACACGCTTAACAAAAAACAACAAAAATTCGAATAAATAAAAAAGAATTTATATGAGATTAAATAGTACACCTTAACAACATCAAGATCACCCGATTTTGACGCTTCAAGTAATTGTAATTGAAGATCGGTTATGTTTGGTGTTAGTATAACTTTTTCATTTTCATAGGCTAATTACGAAATTCAATTTTATTACAATAAAATTTCTTTTTCTAATTACTTACTCATTAATAGTTGTTGAATATTTGATGTCGAAGCCATATCTAGTGCTGTTTGTCCATAAGATGATACAATTGAAGTATCAATTTTATGAGTAATTAAAAATCGACAAGCATTCAAATGTCCATTTTTAACTGCATGATGTAATGCA